GATCCATGTCATCTTTAGGCCTACAGATGTAAAGATCATGAAAAATTACAATTCCACAGTGGTGGATTTAAAAGGGGGGGGGAGAGCCCCTAAAATTATAAAAGAAATGGAGAAAAAAGAAAAATCATAGGCCTAATTAAAGTTTGTCTGAGAGTGCCATTTCCGGCCATTTTGAGGTGCCATAATCATAAATTTTCTTAGCTAAGCCCCAACCATGGTGGGGCTGATGTGGTATTGAACACCTGTCGGTGCAAGTTCCTCCCTTCACCCCCACCCTCTATTTTTCCTGCTTTACTGTAGGTCCCTAGACAATATTCAAATGAATGAAAATTGAAATAGGATATTACAAATTATGGATTTTATAAATCCATTAGAAAGGGTCCTTAAAATGCTAATTTGTCAGAGCTTCCAGAAGATTCACCCCACCCTCGCAGGGATCTCTAGGCAGTCGCCCATCGTAAGGTCCACTTCGGTTGTAAAATGCACCTCCCCATCGAAAATCCTGCCTACGGGCCTGGCTGTAACAACAGACACCCTATGCGATTCTAGAAAAGGGTTTATTCGAAGGAGGTGTTTGAAGGGAAGCGTTTATTTTTTGTGTAAAATGGATAACTGACACCATTTTCGCTAAATTTCAAACGAAAATTTTCGAGAACCTGGCGTATACCACCTAATTGCCTAGGCATTACGCAGAACCGATGACCGCTGTCAGACATTCCAACCCCTTAACGTCCAAAAGAGGGACACATTGATTCTTAAAGCAGGATTGTTTGTTCAAAAGCGGGACACACCGTGATTAACTTTACAGATAAATTGTATACATGAAAATATACAGTAAATAATATAAAAACGTTATATATATCCTATATATATACTTACTATATATATTATATTATATTATATTATATTATATTATATTATATTATATTATATTATATTATATTATATTTTGAACTGATAAACATCTCTTTCGTATCGATTAATCACTATATTAACACGGCTCGTCGCCTGAGAGGGCCATTTCATTTAAATTTAATTTGTTATACTAAATACATATTTACGCATAATATTTCTACTGTCTCTTATACACATCTAGATGTGTATAAGAGACAGGTCTAGGGACCTACAGTAAAGCAGGAAAATTGAGGGTGGGGGTGAAGGGAGGAAATTGCACCGACAGGTGGTTAATACCACCTCAGCCCCACCATGGTTGGGGCTTAGCTAAGAAAATTTATGATTATGGCGCCTCAAAATGGCCGGAAATGGCACTCTCAGACAAACTTTAATTAGGCCTATGATTTTTCTTTTTTCTCCATTTCTTTTATAATTTTAGGGGCTCTCTCCCCCCCCCCCTTTTGAATCCACCACTGTGGAATTGTAATTTTTCATGATCTTTACATCTGTAGGCCTAAAGATGATATGGGTCAATCTGCAATCACAGGAGCTGATAATTTCCAACATATTTCGTAGCACATATTAAAAAATCAAAGGTAGAAGAGCGGGCAAACAAATGTTATGTATATTATAGCATTTTAGGAACGATTTTAGTGAAATAACAGGTTTTAAAAATTGGACTTATTGAAATTTGGTGGTCCAGGGGCAGAGGCCTGGAGAGGGTTTGTGAGAAAAGCGACAAAGTAGCATTTTGAGGGTCTTTACATAATAGATTTCTCAAACACATAATTCATGAATATTTCATTTAAATTTTCATTATTTTGGGTGTTTTTGGGACCTGAAAAAGTAACGTTATTATGTCCTGTACACCTGAAGGCCTATAGATAACATTATTCATATTATATGGACAATCACCGGAGATGATCAATTTCTAACAAATTTAATACCACATTATTAAAAATCAACAGTTAGATAAGCCGGCAAATATATAATGCAATGCATGTTCGGGAGGGGAGGGTGCGTCCGCAGCCTTTGCACCCCCCCCCCCCCCACCTGTCTACGGTCCTGAATACATTGTAATTTCAGCGGCGGATTCCAGGCCTAGCCTAGGTCTAGGTAGGCCTTAAAGCCTAGGCTAGGCCTTAAAGCCTAGGCTAGGCCTTAAAGCCTAGGCTAGGCCTGGCCTAGTTAATAATACAGGAACTTGTACCGCGCCTTTTGCCAAGGGATACATACAAGGCGCAATCAAAATAATTTTTTTTTAAAAGATAACCAATTGGGAATTAACAAAGACAATAGAAATGACAAAAAACAGAAAATTTAGACAGTAAAGTGAGATTTATTTAGGAAAACAATGTTTCTTGAGAAGCCGACGAAGTCGAGGCATTTAGGTATATAGGCCTATCTAGACTTATGCCTTGTTTTTTTTACAAGCCCGGGCACATGTACCTACTACTAGCCTTCTCCATAGCCCACTGTTTATTATTTCAAACACTTAATTTTTGTATTAATTGTAACGCACACCTCCACCCCCCCCCCTCCCCCCCCCCCCCCCTTTTTAAAATTGTCAATGGTCACTAAGGAGTGCCCAAGTGACCTCAAAATTTCATCCATTTTACTTGTTGACACCGTCCAAAAAACAGCTGTGAAACTTTAATTCAAAATAGAGGGCGTCCACTTGAGTTGCACTGCCATTGGAGTTTTGCATTGCCACCAATGTTTTGCACTGTGACTCTCAGTTTTGCACTATGACTCTCAATTTTGCACTGTGACTCTCAGTTCTGCACTGTGACTCTCACTTTTGCATTGTGACTCTCACTTTTGCACTGTGACTCACTTTTGCACTGTGACTCTCACTTTTGCACTGTGACTCTCAGTTTTCCACTGTGACTCTGTCTTTTGCACTGTGACTCTGTGTTTTGCACTGCTGACCCTCAGTTTTGCGCTGCTGACTCTCAGTTTTGCGCTGCTGACTCTGTGTTTTGCACTGTGACTCTCAGTTTTGCACTGTGACTCTGTGTTTTGCACTACTCAGTTTTGCACTGTGACTCTGTGTTTTGCACTGGTGACTCTCAGTTTTGCACTGGTGACTCTCAGTTTTGCGCTGCTGACTCTCAGTTTTGCACTGCTGACTCTCAGTTTTGCACTGTGACTCTGTGTTTTGCACTACTCAGTTTTGCACTGTGACTCTGTGTTTTGCACCGGTGACTCTCAGTTTTGCACTGGTGACTCTCAGTTTTGCGCTGCTGACTCTCAGTTTTGCACTGCTGACTCTCAGTTTTTCGCTGCTGACAATTGTATTTTGTCCATTTGGCGTTCCATATTGAATGTTATACCGAGATTAAAGTATCAGTCGTTGGACTTACATATACGTTAACGGTACATAAATGCATGTCGTCTTTCAAGCCAAAAACAGTGTTTATCTAATTTGCACCACATGAATTTTGAATGAGTTAGTTTAAGAAATGTAAATTCCTTATTTAAAACAATCTTTTACGGCGAAAGCAAAGTCTCCAAAATTTTGATTGGCTTTCCTAAATTTCGGCCTGTGGTTTTGAACAAAGACATCATCTAAATTTATGTGGTCAGATTCTTTAAAATGAGTTTTTTAGGAGACATAAAATATCAAATTTATTTGGAATGTTTCTAACAGCATTAATAGTGAGTTTAGATACCCTAGTGTTCGCAGTTGGAGTATGGAGACTATCAATATTCCATGCTCCGATTCTTTATGACGGATTCAATCGACTTATTCATATTTGTAGTGTTCATAGTAATAACATTAGTGGTAGGATTATTGTTATCCATTGTGATATCGGTGGTACCTCGTTCGATGCCAAAGATGCTTTACATAATCCCCTGACTCCCCTATTCGAGTTGGAGTACATATGTATGGTGGGTGGCAGGCCCGTAGACAGGGGGGTTTTTTATGGTTCGGGCGAACCCCCCTTTTCTAG